AGCCCGCCCGGCACCATCCCCGGCCCGGTGGTGGCCAAGGCCGAGGTGGAGAGGTGGTTCACGGCCCCCGGCGTGCGGAGGATCCGGCTGAAGGAGGGAGGCGTAAGGGGCTCCCTCTTCCTGCCGCCGGGTGAGTGCCGCCCGCCCTGGGGGCCGGAGGGGAGCAGGGAAGTCTCTTTTAGAAGAAAACCGTGCAAGGGAAATCACCTGGGAAATCCATATTCCGTAAGACACATGAACGCTGCCCTGCGGACAGGTGGCCGGTTTTTGTTTTCTTTGAAATCCCACGGAGATGCTCCCGAAGGCTTCGGGAGGGTCCCGCTTGTGCGTGGCCACACGGCCTAGTCCCTGCCTGCAGCACGGGCCTGGGCAGGCGGCTCCTGGGAGACAGGCAGAGCTTCCTGAGAACAGAGGTGGGGTTTACCACCTCAGTCTGCGCTCAGTCTGCAGTTTTGCAGTGGGTTTTGTGTTCGCTCTGGACTACCAGAATGTGTAACGTTCAGAAAAACGTCATCCTGTGAGCCTGTGCTAAATCTCCCATGGATTTTACCCTGAGTAGGATTGAATCGAAAAGGCATTTTTTCTTCCCTGTGAAACAAATACGAGTGAGCAGCACAGGGGAAGAGATTCTAGAAAATAAGAGGCATTCCACCCCTGTTACACTGGAGCCAAAGCTGAGTTAATAGCTGAGTTACTTCGGTTGATCTGTGGTACAAAGGCAAAACAGATTTCTGAGCAAGTTCTACCTGTTCTGCTTGTGGGATGGTTGTGCTTTATGAGGTGTGATATTCTGATGGACTGCGAGTGCTGTTGGAAAATGAAACCTTACACCGACGATGGTGTTTGTATGCTTGAGCCATGATTTAAACTTCTATTTCTGCCCTCCATATTACCTCTAATTTATAACCACCTGGTTCAGCAAATCGTGTAAGTACCATTACAGTTGCTCAGGATTTAAGTATTTTCAGTGAATGATTTTTCAAACCAATAATCTTTTTATCCATTTAGATACGGATCCAAAGTCCACTGAAGAAAAAAAAAACAACAACAGAGATTGAACTTTGAATTTTGCATCAAATGTTTAGTCAGCATTCTGGATTTTCCATCACTAAGGCTTGGTTGTTTTGATATATCCTGCCTTAGAGGATGAGTTGAATTTCTGCTGAGCTCAGTGGGAATCCAGAGATCTCCAAGCTGGAACTGCATTTTTCCCGTTAGAAAGTCTGGCATTGTAATAGTGTGGAAAAGTCTGGAATCATTGCTTAAACGATCCTGGCATCCTTCTCGAAGGAGGATCCATTGAGATAACAAGTTACAACATTAATACCATACCTTTCTTTGCTCCAGGGATGGAAAAATGTTAATATTAAGATAGGAATCTTAAATGCGACCCGTTCTTCATACAGTTGAGATGACAAGAGTGGGCTTAGACTGTAATTTTAATATTAAAGAGATTTCTCAATTCGGGCATAAGAGTTACAGGTGGGGTTTTTTTTTGTTTTGTTTGGATGGTTGTTTTTAAGCAGTAATAAAGTTGTCTAGTCCATTTAATCCTGCTTTTTAGTGAGCTAGAAGCATATGTGACAGATATATATACAGAAACTGTATACTTGGGAATATGTAGGCACTCAGGAAGGCAGTCCAGGATCCTTGTGTAAGTGAAAGGTGGTTGTGATGAGAGAGAAACACATTCATGCTTGGCTCTGTTCTGATCATAAATTCTTGCCAGAAAGCTTTCCAGGTAGGGGTGATAAATGAATTTTTATCTTTTATTTTGAACTTTCTTTTTTTTCTAGCCATCTAGTCTGTTGTTAACTAAAGGTTACTGTTGATCATGGCATTATGATAAATTTATACAGATTTTCTCTCAAGTAGAATATTGGGGGGAAAAAAAATCAGAACTGACAGAAAAAGAACCCAAAAGCATGTTTCAGTCCTTCTCTGACCTCCTAATGCTTTAAGTTGGGAGGTTTCCCGCATCCAGCATATGTTGTCCAAAACTTCCTTTTCTCAAGCACCTTGAAATGCCAGAAGTCTTTAGCACACGAAGGTAATGCCAGAGAGTTAATGTGCTCTTGCACAAGCAGGTGCTTTGTCTGCTGAGAGTGTGGTAGCGAGCAGGATCCGGGGGGTGACATCTGGTGGGAAGGAAAAAAGAAGTGAAAGAAGAAACTGCCTGCCTGGGGTCTGTAGTTCCCAGAGGTGTAGCACCCTTAGCTCTTTAACCCAAGATCGGCTGGCATGGCACGCGGTAATATTACAACACGACCTCGGCTGCAAAAGCATGCTCAATTAAAGTTGTGGTTCTGATTACTTCTGTAGTTTTGTGGGACTGATTATAGACACGTATGCGTGTGTTTATCTATATATCAGTCGCGCACACGTAACTGCACCCATACAGCTGTCAGATTTACCCTCTTGACATCTGCCATGGCAGTTCTGCTGCCAAGTGTGCGGATGTTGAGTTGGAGCTGGTAAGTCCAGTTGATTTCATGTAGCAATGGGTGTGTCTCTGCTGTGCTTTGCTCAGCGCACCTTATTCCAGAGTTTGCGTAAGTTTTGTAGGGCTTACTTCCAGGGCTCGGTGCTCTTGCCTCACTAGTAATGAGGTTGCACTTTGCTAATTAAGGTATGACTTCTTTGTGGGGAAAATAGCTGATTTAGAGTATGATTGTTCTGAGCGTGGGCGATTAAGACCATTGAAAAATACATTTAGGTCTTTTTTTTTAAAAAAAGCCAAGTTGAACTATTCACATACCTTTACAGGAAGGTAAGGACTTAGTTTGAAATAGCTACAGTGGATACAGCACTGGTTCTCTTAATCTCTGCTGTGCAAATGGAAAAGTGAGGAGTATTAATAGAAAATGTCTTAAGCCTTCTGTATTTTGTTGTTCACTTATGACTAGATTTTTTTTTCGTGTCCTGTTTGATAACTCCTCCTCTGTACCCCTTCTTTTTAATGTAGGGGATGGCCCCTTTCCAGGAGTGATTGACATGTACGGTGATGAAGGAGGTTTGGTTGAATTTAGATCCAGTCTCCTGGCTACCCGTGGTTTTGCTGCTCTTTCTCTTCCATATTTTAACTTTGAAGATCTCCCAAAGGTCATGAAAGAATTAAAACTCGAGTATTTTGAGGAGGCAGCTAGATTCCTACAGCGTCACCCAAAGGTGAGTGATCTCTCGGGCCAAGGGAGGATTCGACAGTCATGCCCAAGTAGGGGCAAGTTTCTGCTGGGCAGGTTTAGGCCCAGTAATGGAAAAAGTATAGGTCCTGCATAGGCGGCTACGCTTATGACTGGCAAAGAGTGAATTTCTTCCAGTGCAAGCTGGCCATTAAATAAATACATGCTGGAAATGAGAAGATTCTTGATCATTAGAACATTAAAGTGCTGGGAATATTATCCAAACAGGAGCAGTGGTGATAAAGATTATTTTTTTTTTTAAATAAAAGCAGTTAGTTTAAGAGAGGATGATACAAGACTGCTCAGTAGTCAAGAAAAGAGGGGATTTGATGATTTGGGATGTTGCTTTCAGTTTTACGTTTCAGGCTAGAAAGGGACAAGACTAAATACTACTTACCTAATCCTGCACATGCCATTGGTGAGGTTACTTTATTTGCCCGTGACAAATACAGCAATAGACAGTAACTGAATTTCCTGTCACCTATTTTGGGAAAAACAGAAAATGTTTGCATAAAAATACGCAGTAGGGACTAGGTGACATCTGCACTTCTTGTGCCTGTCTGTGTTATTGTGTGGGGTTTGACAGCTCTTGTTGCCTCAGAAAAATAAGACATTAAACAGAGGGAGGAGCCTGGCTCCTCCAGGTCACATCAATAATTAACCTAACCTCTTTTTTTTTTTTTGCTAAATAACACAATTCCAAAGGCATTTAATGGCTAATCCCCTTATAATGCATACGTCCTTTTTTCCTTTCTTTCCCTACCCTTACCTTATCTGAAGGTGAAGGGACCAGGAGTTGGAGTGATTGGGACTGGGAAAGGGGCAGAATTAGCACTCTCCATGATCACGTTCCTGCCAGAAGTAGTGGCGGCTGTCTCTGTCTCCGGCTGTAGTTCCAACACTGTTGCAGACCTCCACTATGGTGAGATGACTCTGCCTGGGCTGCGTTTTGATATGAATAAGGTCATTGTTTCTCGTGCTGGGGTATTTGACACTTTTGAAGCTCTGGATGACCCAACGAATCCTGCTAATTCTCCTTGCACGATCCCCATTGAAAAAGCAGAAGGTCACTTTCTCTTTGTGGTAGGGGAAGATGATTGTATGTGGAAGAGCTCCCTATATGCTGAGCTGGCAATTGGCCGTCTACGCCAGCATGGGAAAGAAAATTTTGAACTCTTGAGTTATCCGGGAGCAGGTCACCGAATTGATCCGCCTTCTACTCCATTTTGTAAGGTAGCTATCGATCGGCTTTTGAGGGTACCTGTTCTGGAAGGTGGAGAGAGCAAAGCACATGCTCACGCACAGGAACACTCCTGGAGAAAGATTCGGGAGTTTCTGCACTTGCATTTGGGATGAACACATAAGAACCTGCAAGTTGTTGCAAAGCTGCAGAGGCCTGAGCTTGAGCCACCAAAATGACTGGCAAATGGAGGGACTGACTAAGCAAAGCTTTGAAATACGAGATAACCAAATGATTACTTACCTACAAATGTAAATCCGAAAAGGGAATTGATTTCTTGGACTAGCCTAAGTTATTTTAATTAGGTACACAGAGGAGAAGTGGAACGGTGATAAGTAGGCTGCATTATAGAACAAATTTGACAGCCAATTGGTCATGATATAAAGAAACAAGTATCTGGAGAGAGCAGTAGGTACTTTCTTGCTTGCAGTATTTATGACTCAAAGAATTAAACAGCCAGCCTGTACCATCAGCAGTCACAGACTGGATCGCACCCGGGGAATGATGGCAACCCATGGATGATAAACTTTGACATCAAAATGATAAATGATTCTGGCTTTGGGTCTTAAGTTACCTTAGCCCAGAACTCTCAGATTTACAGCTGTGTACCCTTTTGGAAATATTTTCTATTTACATGAGGCCTGGGACATCTGTTTGTGAGGAGGCTGGTATACCCTGACCCTAGCTAGTGGTCTTCTGGTGACACAGTCTGTCTCTTTCCAACAAAAAATGCCTGTAGAGTGGGAGAATGAAGAATACGTTTCCTGCCATCACGGGAGAATGGCAGCACTAGCGCTGTCTTGTATTAGGGATGTAACCATCTGTTCCTATAATGTCTTGGATTGGCATTTGACACTGGGGTATTAAAATTCTGTTGGATGGGTTAAAGTATGGTTAAATGCAATTACGCTATGTGCAAGTCTTACTTCTCTCTACATTGCTTGTTTTAAACTAATAACACCAGCCATTAAGTTAGGGATTAATTACTTGTGGAACTCTTTAGTAATGATGTCAACAGATGCTGACAGCTGTTCTTGGGGAGGAAGCATAGTTGAGAGACAGAAAAACTAGCCAGTAGAAGATTGTTAAGACTGGCTGTAAAAAGCTGTCATCTTATGGCAATGATTAACTTAGAATCATAATGCTTTAAAAAAAGAATCTCCTCCCCCCTCCCAAAAAGAACCCAAACCCAAATCTGGGATATCTTTTCCACGACTGCCTGAGAATGTTTTTTTCATCCTAATTAATTTTTGGCTAGTGCCTTATTTTTCCTCACCATTCAGGTAGAAAGAAACAACTTCTTCTCAGATGAGTTGATCTCCAAAGAGGGTCTTGCTGGAACGGTGCCTGTGCTGAAGGCCTGTTTCACAAGGGCCTCTATAAATACCATTTTTTTCTTCCAAGGTCATTTTGTCAGACCAGTTTGAGAGTTGCCCAGGAAGATACAAAACCTTCATTTATGGTACTCAATTTTGCTTTGCTCTCAGGGATCTTTTCTCTCCAGTTAACTGTCATTATGCTGCTGCTCAGGTCTCATTAGCTTTCTGCAACTCATACTACTCCTTATGATTTGATTGAATTCACACGTTCTGCACACACCGTCACTCACTGCCAATTGAACAAAGTAATCCATCCACTCCGTACAAGAGAAGCTCCATCCTGCTCAATCCACACAAAATATCTTTATGCCTCTCTTAAACTCCCTCACTGGCCAAAGAGGCTTTTGCTGGTGCTTGAAGCTCCCCTAAAACCAGCAGCCCCAGAAGTCCAGGATCATGGCCTGCTGTGATGGGCATATGGGTGTCACCCGGGCTTAGTACCCTGCTTTTTTTTCAAACTCACTCCAAGTTGCAGCCATAGAGGAAAGGATTGTCTGAAGGTTTCCGTTTGTTTGGTCTGCCTCGTTGTGTTGCTCTGCAGTAGTCAGAGCTGTGTAACTGTGGTAGAGCAGCGCCTCCCCTGACCTTGCGTTGTTGCCCTCCCAGTACTGACAGCTCTGTCTCCACTCTGCAGTCCTACCTCAGCATATCCATTGCTATGCAAGACTGCAAACTGGGGGTTTCAGGAAGGAGATGTTAAATTGTAAATAAAACAAAAAGCGGGTAGCTTAGAAGTCCTCAGACTTTATTTCTAAAGCACAAGCTTTTAAAATAATTCAGTGTTAGACATGAGAGATAGGCAATTTGAAAGAGAAGTAGACCACTTCCCGTATTGAAAAGCAGGCCTGTGTGAGAATTTGATATTACGTTTTTGTTTCTGAATGGTTCCTTTGTTTGGAAAGCCGAATGATACTTTTTAAACAACGAAAGGAGGAAAACTTTTTTAAAAAGGGTAATTTTACTGTGATCCTTTTGTGAAAAAGTCAGGGTGTTTCTGGACAAAATAAGTCACAGATGGGTCTCTAGAAAACCAGCCAACATTTGCACTAGTATTTTGTGTATAGTTGTATATTGTATGCAATGCTACTTGGAGACCAAAGAACCATTGCAGACGCTCTGCAGATAACATAGCTGGTTGCTGAAGTATACCTTAAACGGAGCACCTGATTACGGCCCTAGGCGAAGCCGCGTTGTTTGTATCATTCTGCATTCCTTCCGTGGCACAACTCCCGCGCCGTTTCACTGTGACTATTGCTCGGGCTGGTGGGGTTAGTGTCACTGGCCAAACCTGGGGGACCTTAGGCACAGCTGACCTCGGGGTTCCAACACACCCTGTGCCGGGGTCTGACAACGCTCTGGCCGGCCGCTGCTAGTAGGGAGCTGCCGGCAAAGGGCCAGGATGGCTTCCCACGACGAAGCGTTGAGTGGGGTGAGGAGCTTTGGGTAGCAGCAGGCAAGCCCCGCGTTACCAGAGGTACCAAGCCACCGGTGACACATCTCGGCGTTCGGTGTCGGCGCTGTTTGTCATTTGCAAATTGTTGTAACTGTTGTCACGGTTGGGTTTCAATAAAAGGTGTTTGATAACGCTCGACGGGCGTACGGTTGGGTTGTTGTAGCGGCGGGGGGAGAGGGTCAGTC